AGAGTGGATTTAACCAGTCTACCAGTTTGAGTCAAGCAATTTGACTAGAACATTTCTCAGTACATATTAATTAGTTTAAGTGGGGCATCACAGGCAAGAAAACAGGAATGGGTTTTAGCTATAAATCTAATTCTTTACCCAATATTTTTAACCTTGGTAATTAGGTTGCACATCTAAAAATACTTGCAAATCAAGTCCTTGGGATACAAGAAAAAGTTAAAAATATTTTTTTCAAATCTAGAAACTAGAAGAGCACTTTAAAAGTCACTGCTTGGGACTACTTCATTTGGATGGTAGTACTGTCCAAACAGGGTGAATTGGCAACACCCAGATGAACCACACTTTAACTGGTTAAAATAATTTTAATACTATATAGTAATGATCTAAAAGATCTTTTATTATTCTGATAGACTGTATCAACTACAGTTCTGCTTTTTGTAACTTGAGGGATACTTACAGGCTTCAAGCCATGCACAAAGTAGTAAGTATTCAACATTTTTTTGCTTCCTGCATTATAGTTCAGTCAGTCATCTTTGACTGTTCATACCTCCTTCTCAAATGGCATTTTATGCTTCAAGAACTAATTGTCAGACTGCAAAATATTTCTATTTGCTAGAAAACTTTCTGGCGGGATTTAGGAATATTTCAAACTGCTGGTCCCAAGCTTAATCTATGCTTCTGCACAGGTTAGCATCATAGACTTATTCCACGCCCCAGAGAAACTGTTCCTTCCTAACAGTAAGAAATACCAAAATATGAACTATTTAATTTCCATTTCTTATGGAGATTTCAACACCACCTCCCATTGAGAAAGTTGTTTTTAGTTTTACATCTGTTTAAAGCTTGGCAGCACCAATTTCATATGGACTTGAAGAGTTATCCTTCTACAAAATGTCAAAACAGATTAAGCTTTCTGAGTGTGCCAATCACCATGGAAGTTAGGCCCAAAATACAAGCAGAAACTTGGCATCATCCTTGTTCTCATTTACACCTTAGTAAATCTGTATTCTGTACATCTCCATTTCTTTATGAGAATCATCACTTCCATTTCATGTAATTATTCTAAGGCAGACAAGACTTATTTCAGAATGTCATTATGGTCACTGGTATCAAAACTCAGAAAGGGTGCACACCACACCTTTGAATGGCAGATCACAGAACAAGGAGCAATGGTTTCATGCTGCAGCAAGGGAAGTTTAGGTTGGATATCAGGAAAAACTCTCTCTTGGAGAACAGTAAAACACTGGAGCAGGTTACCCATAGAGGTGGTGGAATCTCCAACCTTGGAGGTTTTTAGGACCCCGCTAGACAAAGCCTTGGCTGGGATGATCTAGTTGGGGACAGTCCTGTTTTGAGAAGGGGGTTGGATTAGATGACCTCCTGAGGTCCCTTCCAACCCCAACTGTCTATGATTCTATGATGTACTTTAACCAATACTTGCATATACTGCAGACTTTTGTGAAAGTCAGGTATGCTCTAGTCCTGTAAAGAACGAGGATAATACTAGTAAAGTCCATGGTCTACATGGCTGTTGCTGTCAGCAGTAGAATCTATTTCAGCACACAACAGGAAGACAAACACCCAGTAAGCAATGGTGAACTTGTAGGAGTGTCCTATTGCATATTTGAAAAGTCCTGCCCACCCCTTTGACTCCCTCCCCACCCCCCAATTAGTTTAAAACCCAAGCATTTTTCAATTACCATTCAACAAGCCACACTATGTTCTGTAAGCTACAAGACTAGTTTAACTCTCAGGCTACCTTTACTATAGTTTACCACTAAAGAACTATTAACTGCAAGAGGGAATCAGCAGTACTGCCACTGCCTCCTCCTGCAGAGGATTTTCTGCATGGCTGAGTCATAACTAACATTACATCATCTAAGCCAGGGAGGGGCACAATTTCCATAGTGTGAATTACCTCTTACAAGCAACACAGTATATTAAGATGCCAGAAACGAACTAAGTTGTGGACAACACAGTTCTTGGAGAAACCACACCCAAAGCTTTTATGAACACAGTCATTATCTGTGAATGAACCCATATGTGCTTATTCACAAATATACATCCTACAATAAAGCAACCTATGAATTTTTAGAGTTTATGTACATTTAAGATTTGACAAGGTTAGTAGATGTCCATGAGAACTAGTTACCAAATAAATTAAGGGGAAGAGGAAAAAGTCATCCACTTGTCTTAGTTTTTTTTTTTTTTTAAATGGTATAGATAAAGATTAAAGACTTGATATCACAGGCCTCAATTTTCAGCTTATATTAAATGTAGGTTTAATGGGGTTAATATCATTTACCCTGCAATATTAAATCAATAGTTTACAGTTCTGTTAGTTCTCACCAGCACATCATTGCAGATGTCCCTTAGCTCAGTCTCAATTTTCTCTCTGTATTCTCGGGCCATCTGCTGCTTTTTCTCAGCACCTTCCGTTTTTTGTTCAATACTTGAGACTACTCTCCAAGATGACCTACGGGCTCCTACAACATTTTTGTAAGCAACAGAGAGAAGATTCCTCTCCTCATTGGACAACTCAGCTCCTTGCTCAGTCACAGACTTCATGCAGCTTGCCATGTCATCATATCTCTCAGCCTGCTCAGCCAGTTTGGCCTTCTGCACCAGCTCATTTTTATCCATGCTGATTTTTCTGAGAAGGAAAAATAGGAAGGCATTATTCAAACATTTATCAAGGACAAAGACATTTTTAGCCTCATATCTAAATCAAGGATTTCTCTAGAGTAGTTTTAAGTTGTAATATTTCTAATTGTCAGCTTTTAGGGATTCTCAATATTCTCTGTCATGACTTGAAGACTTTGATTTGCTTGTTTCTAAAAAATTCAGACTATTAATTGATGCTTCTAGTCTTTATTGTTGCAGAGATCACTTTAAAAATGCTGAAGGCACACCTTTTCTGTGCTCTACATAATTCAGATTGTTTCCTCCCCCTCAATCAGTCTTAGTTCTCTACAGCCTTCTCCCAAGCCACATCATGAAGCTTGTCCATTTCATCATGCCAATGATTAAAGAGCTGGGGAAAGCAATTTTGTGCTGCTCCATGGGCCAAACAAAAAGGCTGGAGGAACAGCCTTCTCTCTCATGCTATAAAGCTCTAAAGATTTTTTTTTAAAGGTTGTTAACTACTTTGAATGTAGTGGTTTCATTCATACTAAGGATCCTGCCCTTCTAGGAATGTTAACTCTTTCCCTAGAGGATCAGTGGGACAAGCTTCTCATCCAAGTTGTGCTTCTCAGCTTCAGTAGTGAAAGCTTGGTGGACAAAGTTAGTATTACCTCTGTCTGTACAGCCCCACTAAAATGCAGCCTAACGCATCAGAAACATCTTTTGCTGGCAAAAATGACAACCGAGGGATCAAAGATTTCTTAGGGTGACTGCCTTTTCTTGGGCCAACGAGGCAGTTGGGATAAAGCTGGACAAGCTTTTAAAAGCAAGTCATCCTTCCTCAGGTCTCCTTAAGGATCTGCACCCCAACAGGGCTTTTCAGCACTTGGGAACCAACCTGACTCTTGTTCATGTCAGGAAAGATCAGAGGCCAACCCCCTCCTCCCACCTATTTCATCAACCCCTAGTGACTAGTGCCTTCATTTATTTTTAAAGCCTACAGATATACCAGAGGTTCCTTGAGACCTTCGTATCCACCTGGGCAGCAGAAACTCCCTTTCGTCCTGCCCTCAGGCTCGTTTATTACCGATTCTCACGAGCCTCCTCCCGACTGCAGGGCTGGGCGGAGGAGGGTGCGCGGAGCCCGCGACGCCGCGCGCCGGGGCCTTGCCCGCGCGGGGAGAGGAGTGGGAAGAAGCCATTTTGGGGCCGGGTTTCACGCGGGGAGGGTGGGAGCAAGGGAGGCAGCGGATGCCGCCGCCGCGCCCGGAGCCGTGAGGCAGGGCAGGGCAGGGCAGGGCAGGGCAGGGCAGGGCAAGGCCCGTCGCGCTCGGCTCT